AAGCCCGCGGGGAACATATTTTGATTCTACCTTGCATACTGGAATTCCCTCAAGTGATAGCAAAATTCTCAAAACTTAAGATAAGATAAGGTAAAGGTAAGGTAAAATAGAGAAGTTAAGATAAGATTAGATAAGGTAAAGTACCTTCGCGAACCTTTTACGGTAAGGTTTAAATTAGAATTTTAATTTGTAATAATTTAACATTTTTTAAAATTTATAATTTAACATATTATTAAAAATTAAAATTCTAATTTAAACCTTACCGTAAAAAGTTCGCGATGGTCAACTTGTCAAAAGACTTGGCTAGACTGGTGACTTGAGTATCAATACATCTGGCTTGAGAGCGACATGTCGTTCTAATTTACCCGGCATATCAAAATATTTAGGGTGTCGTTCTATTTGGTGTGTCCTTCTATTATGGGATGTCGATCGAATTTGTTGCAGGGTTTAATGCAGTTCGAAAAACCAGTTATAATATTCGTACATTAAGGCATATACAGTACAGCAAGAAATTTTACACAACAATTTGCACTCTCCATACAAAAATTTGTTCAACATTCGAATGTTTCCAAAATAATCATAATAATTATTATCACCCATTTAGTACTCTTCTTTACTGCCTTAGACACTAATTTCGGTTCAATATTAAATAAGACATCATGAGTCGATGTCATGTTAGATAAAGCATCCTTAGCTTGAACAATCATTGCTTGCTTGCTGCTTGCAGACGATCTGCCTGCTATCTTTGGTACGTGCCACTCGAATAAACCTGTCGTTTCATCAAAGGATGATGTAGGTGGTTTATTTGTGACATTGTACGTAATCAATGATGGCTGAGCGTTATTAGCAGTAAAGGTAATCTGTACAAAATCACCTTCGCGAACGCTACGTTCTAGTGGTAATGCTGAGTCAAATTCAGGAGGATTATGGTCAATAGTATTCTTCAGCTCGGTCAACACCTGAGCTGCTTGTAGTGACGATTGAGCAAAATTTTTGTCTCCTGTGACTGCGAAGTCGAATGCACAAAACTGTTGAGCGGGTGACCAAGAAGATGAATCATTCATTTGTGTGCCTAAAACGGAAAGATTACTAACTACAACAATTTCGGCGAAAACTCTCTTATTTTACTTAATATGTCGCAGATATTCAGAGTTTCATTTGTTATCGTTACATTCGAATGTTGAACAAATTTTTGTATGGAGAGTGCAAATTGTTGTG